ATGGATGTTGAAATGGAGTATACCTTAATTCATGACAACTGCCCTAAAGCATGAGCATTGGCAGATGAATATGGGGATAAAACAGTACAGGTAAAAAGGGCCAAGCTTGTTCTAGGATGGGCAATTATTACCCATGCCTAAGAGTATAAGGCACGCATTTCACCACTGCCAGAGATCACTCTGGTGGTGGACGTATTGCTGGGGCACTCTGTATAGGTAATGTCAGTTGGTGAGTTTGGCTGGAGGGTATGAACTATGAAGGCAGTCATGCATGGTTGGGTAAAATGGGGACCTGTAAAACTGCCTATCCCAAGTGGAATAGTGAATATCAAACAGTATAGACTGGTTGGGGACTGTGCTGAAATGACATAAAACAGTGAAGTGTTGTTAGACAAAGTAGAGCTTATTTATCAATCTCAATGTCTATGGCCCAGTGGCCTGTGAGGAAGTCTGATGGTTCTTGGAGAATGACTTTGGATTACAGATGTTAGATAAAGTAGTTTTCCCTATCTATGCCACTGTGCCCAAGTGTATTTACGAGGGCGGTAACCAACAGCAGTTCTCATGTACCAGGGTGTCTTTCTTGAGTTAATAAGGATTAGTAGATCGCACAGAGGAGTGAAATGCTTTATGCTTGGTTATAACTACATTTCAGTAAATATTTCTGAGCTTGTTTTTCCTGACAAGTTTTGGTCAGGTCAGCCTAAACAATGTGTGTATGAGTTAACTTACAGTTGATTCAACGTTGTTGTCATGAAACACTGATTAAGAGATCAATGCTGGTCTGGAACACAGAGCCAATAACAAACCTCATTCCTTGTTCTGTCCTGGTTATCACTTTTATTCACAATATAAACTGAAATATTCAATGGATTAGTAACAAACATAAAGGTCAGGAATTGCCAAGGAGGTGATTGTCAATAGAATATCAGAGTCACAATTCAAAATAATCTTTAGTCTAAAAAAAGAAATCAGTAATAGAAAGATACTTTTCTTTATATTGTATTTTATTTAACCATCAGAGCAGGTTTCACTTGCATTCTGGGAATGTGCCAGCATCCTTGCTTAAACAAAGTCTCAGTCCTTCTGGGGCTGGAGAGATGGCTCAGCGGTTAAGAACACTGGTTGTTCTTGCAGGAGACCTGGGTTCAAATCCCAGCACCCACATGGCAGCTAACAACTGTCCATAACTCCAGTTCCAGGGGATCCAACAGCCTCTTCTGACCTCCGCGGGCACTGCA